GCCTAGGTCAATAGCAATAATAACAAAACCTATTAGAGCTTTTCGACAGCGACTGGCTTCTTTTGTAAACAAGTCTCGTAAACTGAGTTGTTTTCGTTCTCGATAAAATAATTAGCCGATTTAATTAGTAAGCATTTTCCAAACACCATTAGTAGTTTATATTCATTTGATTTAATTTTTATTTGTTTACTTACACTTGAAACTGGGCTAAAATAAATTAACAGCCGATTCCTAGAAGTAAGTCTTATACTAATTATTATTGAAGACTAATACAAAGTGTATAAGGAGAAATAAAGAAAGAATTGGTATTGTTCTTAATTATTACGTCAACAAATTATGCATTTTACATGTTGATTTCCTACAATAAATTAAAGTAATATATTGAATTGATATTCTGTTCTGAAGCTGATTGTAGAATGTCCAAAGGGTTAATCGTTCCAAATGCAATACTTCTCGCCAAGCAAAAGTTAAGGCAGTCACAGAGAATGTGCTTTAAAGTGAGAATTTGTTCACAACAATTGGGGAGGAGGACTTCTTCAAGATCCATGACCAAGGCGAATTCTAAAAAATTTTTTTATTTTGGTTTTCTCAACAATTGTTGGACATAAAGGTGGAGTCAATTGAGGGTTAATAGAAGAATAGTGCTGATGATGGTATTGTCGTTTTCCTTCTGCAATTTTTTTTTTTTTTCAAGAAGAAAATAACGCAAAATCTTTAAGGGAATGTCCAATTCCTCAGCGACGTACAAACAATAATGAATTGCAATTGGTGACTTTTGAGGTTTCTTCGCAATAAAAATCTTTCTCACGTTTTCATCGAGAATAGATTTGTTTGAATTAAGAAGCTTGGGGGCTATTTTAGCTTTTAACTCGTAAAGTCTATTTTCTAAAGTTGGGAGAACGGTTACAATTATAATATTATTTATGGGCGTCGTCTGAAAAGCATAAAAACTTTCGCTGAGCGCTTGGTGATAGATATTAGATTTGCAGCTATTGCCATTTATTATCAAGGCACACTCAATCTTGCTTAAAATAAGCACTTTGGTGAAATAATTGATAGTATTAATGTGCGCACCGCTTTTCCAAGCTACGTACTGTATGAAATTCATACTTGTTAAAATAGAATTAACCGAAGACAGTGTGCTTTCCAGCGATATTTGTTGGAAAACGTCAGCCTATGCAGCGTCAGAATATGCAGCGTCTGCACGTTAAGTACTGGTAAGTCATTAATACTCATCAGTAAATTTCCTGCATCGCATATCTGCTTTCGGCAAATGTGTATTTTTTTTGACTTTTTTAGCCCCTGACAAGTTTGCCCATGCGGAGATCTCTCGCTCTTGCTTTCGTGCTATCTTTTTCTTTTGTAACCATTTATAGATCGTCCGCGTAGAGGCAATGTGCGATTCTCGGTATATTGCAAAGAATTTTGCTAATTTCGTTGAAGACGATCTGGAAAAGCGCGACAGAAAGAGGAGACCCTTGCGGAATGCCATTCACTAGCGCAAAGGAATCGGAGAGATGACTGTTGGTTCTAACTTTAAATCGCCGATGCGACATGAATGATTTGATGTAGTTGAAGAATTTGGGTCCAGCATTCCATGATTTCAAGAGTCTTAAAATAACATGAAGACCAACTCTGTCAAATGCTTTTTCGAAATCAATTGAGAGAATTGTTACATGATTCCGTTTGGAAATTGCTTTGCTTGTAAAATAATCAAAATGTAAAAGAGAGTCGATGCACCCGCATGAAGCCAAGTTGTTGCTTTGTTGCCAGGTTCTCGGACTCAAGAAACCAAGACAATCTAGATGCTATAATCTTAGAGGAACAACTGTTGCCAGTTTCCACATGCAGGGTATATGGCCAGTCAAAAATATCGTATTATATACGTCCAGTAATTTCTTTTTACTAGACTTAGACATAGCAATGATCATTTGGTATGAGATGCGGTCTAGGCCAGGTGTCCTCCCCTTCAAATTGGGGAGACAACTTGCAAGTTCTAAGGTAGATATGCAATTTTCCAGGAAAGTGGCACATTTGTCAATACCATTTGAAAGAGATATTGGAGTCCGTTTATTTTTGTTGAAAGAACTGGAAAAGTTGCTGCCAGAGGAGTATTCGCACGACACTTTTCCAAGGTAATTCGAAATCTCATCTGCGCCAGTTCCATTGGGAGTGCAGATGGCAGAGATTTCGTTCAGATTTGAAGTTCCATTAAGTCTGTTGATTTTGTTTCAGACAACTTTCATTGATGTATTTCTGTGAATTCCTCTCGAAAAAAGTTCGAAACTAAGTGCCTTTAATTTTCGTAGTTCCTTCCTGAATAGAGCATTGGCCTTTTTGTATAATAACAAGTGATCCTGATCAGGACATCTCTTAAAGCGGTGCCATAGATCCATTTTATTTTTCCTCAGAAACGAAAGCGTATTGTTCCACCAAGGAACCCTAGCTCGTTTAAAAGAGGTGTTAGATTGAGGAATAGAAACATGAGCAGCCGTGCGAATCGCTTTAGACATAATAGCAGCATCATGGTTGCAGTTCCCGTTAAATGGCTTTGAATTCAAAAATGACTCCACCTCTTTGGAGTAGTTGATCCAATCCGCTTTATCTAGGACGAATTTGGCCTGTCTTGCTGGAGTAACAGAGGACTTTAAATGTTTAAGATCGATTATGATTGGAAAGTGATCGCTATTATGCAGATCATCAGCAATAGACCAGGAAACCAAAGGAAGAAGTGAGGGAGAGCAACAAGTTAAATCAATATGAATAAAGATGTGATAACTTGAAAAGTGTGTTGGTTTTCCATCATTTAAAATGCAGAGATTGCTTTGAATGAAGGCCTTTTCTAAAACAGTACTACGATTGTTGTTCACTGTCGCAGATGGTGTTCCAGCTATTAAAGTCGCCGCAAATAATAAATGGGGTGGGAAAGTATAGAGAATAAATTGTAGAGTTCTTGTTGAGAAACCGATTGCGAAGGTGGGATATAGAGCGAAAGCACTGTAAATTTTATGTTTAAGATTATTTGTATCACTACGGCTTGTATGTTTGAGCTTAAATTTATGCGGTTGTGAGGTAAACTTGATTTTATAAAAACACAAACTCCTTGTTTAGAATATAAATTTTGGTCAACATTCGTAAAGTATCCAGTATATGACTTGGGTGGAATAGGATTGAAAGAACTTCTACAATGGGTCTCTTGAAGCGATATAAAGGTTTTTGTTTTTCACAAAAAAATCAAAAACATAAGGCATAACGTTGTCCTAAACCTAGAAAAATAAATTGGCAATAGGTAAGGAATTATGTCCTCGTAATCATAACCGTAACATTGTTCTAAATCATGGAATATAATCACTTATGAGTTTAATATGGACGAAAAGACAGTACTATTAACCGAATTAATTAAGAAAGAAACACCGAGAATAAACCTACGTTTCTCAAGTGATGGTAAGGATAACAAAAGCAACCGTAAGGATAAACAGCAAGAATTGCTGTTGAACTGATTCAATTGAATCTATAACGCCTATAGGAGGCAGACCGCATAACCGAGACATACTCAATATTGGTCTACCTAAGCACGTGTATAGCTTTTTTGTTATTTAAAGACCCTTAAACTATTTGGCCCAAATAGCAATAAGTTCAACGTCGGGAAGAGCAGGAAATTGAATTGAATATGGCACAAAACACACCTCCACCAATGCGATCCAATCAATTCTTTCTGAAAATCTCGAAGGAATTGGAAACATGCACTTTAATATTGCGTAGACGTCGGAAATTTAAACACACTCATAATTTAATGATGACCAAATATGTATATAAAGCTATTAGGTGATGCGATTTTGGCTAAACTATTAAAAATTTTACCTTCTTTCTAGCATAGTTTTGATGGGATCTCTACAGTGTTATGACTAAATTTACAAAATTATACCTGCTTTCATGTAAAGTCATAAATTATGATACCTGTATGTAGGAGCGATTCCAAAATATGATCCATTTTGAACCGAATTTAACAAATCTAATTTTCCTTTTGGAAAGACCTTATTAGTTTTCATGTATTTTGTCTAAAAATTAGACGGTGTTGCCATATGAAAGCTTACTTTTTACTTCAAATCAGTGTAATTTCCTGAAATGTTATATTAGCAGATTTTGTTTGGGAATTTTTTGCAAATTTTTTCAGGCGACGATTTTTTCAAAATAAAGCGTGACATCAAAAGTGGTTGCAAAAATGCCTCCTTCAAACCCAATTTGAATATTTGGGACTTACATCGTTAGAACGCAGGTGCTCTGCGTTATCAACGAATTTCGTATACATATTCTCAACAAATGGGTCCGAATAACATCATTAACATAAGAACTATCGATAATTTTTTCTGTGAAATAAAATTCCCATGTTGAAATATTATTTTTTAAATCTATTAAATACACAATAATAGCGATTGCTCAGAAATAACTTAAAACCATTTCTCTTTTTCTCTAGCTTTACACATGTTTCTTATTAAATTGAACTGTGTATAGCAGTCCTCCCGTTTTCAAACAGATCTCATACTTCTTATACTCTCTCTACGCTTATGAGCATTCTTAAGAAGATCGCAAACATTTCCCGATTTCCTTTTTCCATACAAGCGCGTATACCGTAACAACAGTCTGCAATACTCACTTATGCTCTTTGCTTTTCTTCAAATGTGGAGGATTTTAATTTTATGATATACGTCTTCGTAGACAGTTGTTAAAGAGTAGCTAGAATGTTACGTGCACTAGACGGACTGAAATAGTTCTTCATTGAGCTTTAACTAAGCGTGTGTGCGTGCGTTAAAAAAAAAATTGGCCAAGAAAGAAAGAAAAACGAATATATAAGAAAATCCGCCATAGTGAAGTTATTTTTAAAAAAAGCCTCATCACCATACAGGCATTTATATCTGTACGCAATCATAACTAAATAATATACAAAAAATTCACTTCATAGCTTTTTAATAAAATAAAGTTTTATTAATTTTTCTTTGAAGGCGGAGTGAAGTGTTTTTTGCCAAAAAATTAAAAATACGTGTAAAGTAAAATTTTGCTTTTAATAAAGTAAAGTTAAATAATGTTACGTTCGCTGTTTTGCACGTACGTATTAATTTTACTGGCGCAGTTCTTGGTTTCCGGTAATGCTTTCCCAAATTTCCTGTATTATCCTGCCAGTCAGGAATATCCTTTGGCCACTCTGCCAAACGGGGATAACGAATATTTAATATGGCATCTGGATAATCCGCTACACTTTTATAGTGAAAAATATGATCAATTATATGTAAGTAACTAAAAACACGGAAGTCCCTTTAGATGTATTTTACTTGAATTCCATCAATCCCTATGTTTGGTCCCTGTGGTTGGGTCGATGGGGCTATTTTTGACTTTTTTCTCTTTGTGAAAGAAAGGTGATATATGAAAATGTCGAAATTTTGCGTGGCGACATATGGAAAGGAGCTTGCAATGTGTATTTCATGTTTTGGATTCTCTTTCAATATTTTTTCGTATTTTCGAAATATTTTTGCTGCCCAGCATGGCATGCGCTTCTTGAGAAGCGTATACATATTTTAAATAATCTCAAACTCGATGTAGACACGTCACCTCGTTCGCTTGTGGTAACTTAGTTTTCCGGTTGGATTTGGGTACCAAACATTGTTACAAAGGCAAAAATTACATTAAATACATTTAAAAAAACATCGGTTTCAAATTTACAAAAACTTTGGAAGTGCCTGCTTACATTGCAATTGAACCCTCTGGCTCTGGATAAAGGGCAAATAACTCGAAACACAACTCGAAATCACTTCTTTTTTACAAACAAAGAAATTGGGGCTTTTGCTCATTACTAATAATTTACAACAGATGGAATGATGAAAATTTTCACATATATGTTACGGATGGTAGCACAGCATCTGTGCAAAAATGAAAAAAATCGCCCGCGCCCACTCAAGAGTTCCCGAATTTAATGTTCTTGTTTCATTTTTGCAGTTCGCATAAAGGTAAGCCCAATTTGCCCTTCCATTTTGAGATAGTTCGGTCTTCTGCGCCGAAGTAATAAATTTCACAGCTAACAATTCTACGAGAATGGAAAGTATAGGACACCTCATATCATCTCAACGCACACATGAATATGAAGAAGTTTCCGTCACTTTTTTCGATAAACATATATTTTAAAGTATTTGAAGTTTTTGGAAAGTAGATATCCAAGTAAAATATCTTAATATATAGGAAAAATTTTTTGTTTAGAGAAAAACTAGTTAAGTGGGTTTAATTTAAAATCCAGAACAAACACATTTTATTACATAAACAGCTAATATAAAATAATATAAAATGAAGCAACCGCCTGTTATGGATCGTTACGGATCGAGCTTTAAGACGGAAGCCTCTTTAATAGAATTAGAAGGCGTTGTTTTGACACTTTGATAATGGAAGAATAACATCCGAGGAAGTAATTATTTGTTTATTGTTTGTTTAGGTGTTAAAATAGTATCATTTTTGAAAAATGTTACTTGATCGTCAAGAATGAAAATAGAGGAAAATTTGCAAATTTGAATCGGGAACGAAAAATGAAAGAATCGTTTAATTTATATGTCAGATGCGAGAAAGTACATAGAATTCTTTGGAAATATTAAGCGCTATATAATTGACGAGTAGTTTTATTAAAAAGTTTAAATCCTAGAATAATGCTATTAATATCTAATATTTATGTTGACATATCAAAAATATTCTACGTACTTATTTTCGATATTGTAAAAAATTCGAATGAAAAGAATGAAAATTGTTCGACACCAGATTTACTGACATCGCTCAACTTGACGGATTTTTTATTTTAAAAATTCAAAAAAATAGTCGATATCTTAAAATATTATATGTTAGAGTTTAATGATATTATGCAATGTCTAGAAATCTACTGTTTTTTCTGTGATACGCCCACTTGTGCTCTATATATGCAAAGGCAACTTGGCATAACTATCTTCACCGACACCCGTCAATTTGACGGGTAAATTTAGTGAATCGTCAAAGTCGTAAAAGTAAAGATATGGCATACACATTTCTTGATCGATTGAGAATATCTGGTATCGGGATATCGGAGAACGGGGTCGTACTGGATTTATCTTTTCGTTGGAGCCATCAGTTTAATTCTCATTAAAAATTTGTGTTCAAGTTCACCATTTCAACCTTGTATACCCGCTCGTAATTTTTTGTTGGAATGCTAACAGTTGACAAAATTGAAACAGGGCGTATATATTCTTTATTAAAGCCTTGGATTAAGTTTGAAAATGACTGGACTGATTTATTTTTATACCCTACGCCACTTGTAGGGTATATTAAGCTTGGGCGGACTTATGTAACACGGGCTTAGGGCAGACCCACCTTCTATTATACAGATCGATTCAGAATCATTTTCTGAGTCTGTTTGTCCGTCTGATGTATTAAAGTGCAAATCGCAATTTTTTAGATATTTTAATGAAATTTGGTACACTGACTGACGTGCTTTTACCTGAGTACCAATGCTATGGAAATGGGTTCAGTGTTTCAAATACGCCCCTTATTATGCTATATTTTGAAAAGTCGTTATATGAAAAAACACTCAAATTTTTCAAAATTCTTGGCAAAACTCGTTCTCTAATAGTATTTGGACTATGGCTCCTAAGAAAACCGAATCCTTATATAGTAAAAAGGTGCAATTGTTAATATTTCGTGGTGAAAATAAGTTCATAGCAGTAAATTGACATAGAAGTCACCCTTACCGAACTTGGATACCGTAGGTCTATTTTTGAATACCACTGCATATAAAGATTCTCAGAAAATGTACAACTTTTCCTGCCGAAAACGTCTATTTGCAAATATTTTATGCTGAAAATTTGTTCATGATAGCAAGTTGACAAAAAATTATATTGACCATATAAGATTCTTATGAACGTCAAGCCCTTTAGAAAAATTAACAAAGACAGAGAACATGTAATTTCTACCTTTCTGTGACGGAAACTGAAAAATAATAAAATTTTCGGAAGTAAATTAACACTGTCAAATAAGCGGCTTCGAGATTTCGACCTCAAAAATTCTGCATAAGGAACTATATACCATCAGATGTTATTTACCCGTTTTTAATCACATTATGCAGCAAATATGTATGTTAAATCTTTCTGGTATATTTGGCTATTTCTACTTGTGGTATACCTATTTTTGCTGAAACCCGCCAACTTCACGCAGTCGCAAAAGGAAAGGTAGGAAACCCAAACTTTTACAACACATACTCCTCGATCGATTGAAAATATATGGTAAGAAAATCTGAAGAATTGGGCTATGGCCACAACACAACCAACATACTGAGTTTATTTTCTGACGTATAAAGTCTAAATGTCCGAAAATTTTGTAAACTTTTGATATGTAAGAAAAATGAAGGTAATTATGTTTGCGTTTAATGTAAAAAGGTTGAACACGGAGTGGTAGATGTTGTACACAAAACGTGTTTTGAAGAAGACTGTTATTAAAAATGTGTATGTTATAAATAAATAATTTAAGTAAAAATTTCATTTTAATATATCCCTAAAAAAGATGAATTTCAGTAAAAAAAATATTATATAGTCAACGATCGTAAGTCTAGTAATATTAAATAGTAGCCGACAGTATCAAAAAGAACTTAACACAACTTATTGAGTAGCTAATTGTGAACGTATTACTAAGCAGATCGCGACCAGTTTTGCACCGAACACGCAGGTGGTTCTGGCAAAAGTTCGAGGACTAGTTTTTTTAAAAATATATTTACGAGATCGAAAGTTATAGCGAACAAATAATTGTGTTAAGCGAGGTGGTGTAGTGTATCTAAAAATCGTCCCTGACTCACTGATGTTCTTACTTATTATACCCACCACTGTAAGATGACAGCATATTCATTTTGTTTTTTTCCAAAATGTATGGAATACCCAAAATGAGTCTTCAGATTTTGTACAAAGTATATATATTCTTGATCAGCGTGAAATTCTGAGTTGATTTAGCCACGTCTATCCGACTGTGTGTCCGTATGGTGTGTCGCAAAAATTAAGATATCGACTTCAAATTAATCGGAACACAAGCGCGCAAAAGAACAAAAACTGAACGCAACTCCGTTTTTTTAACAGAACTGTTTAGATTTTTTTTCCTCGGAGTTAAAAGTTAAAAAGCTGAAATTCCAGATTTACTTTACGAAGCATTCTACTTCTTACGTGTAAAAATGGAAAACATCCGCCATGCCCACACAAAGTTACAAATGATTAAATTCTGTTTCTTTCACTTTCTTAAAGTTTTAAGCTTATTTGTCACAAACAAGACCGAATGTTTGCAACGATTTTGTACACTCCTTAAAAAAACATATATTATCTACCTGAAAACGGGTTACTTTTAAAGTGAAGATGATAGACACCGTGATCACAATTTTCTTAATAATATTAGTGATATAGGTATCAAATAAAAGAACTTGGGGGGTAGAACGCGAAAAACTTAGTGGTGGGTATGCGAATCTAACTTTCTTACTTGCTATTATTTTACTTTTGTTTATTTGTTCGCACATGAAATTAAACAAAAGTAAATTAGGATAATAATCTTATAGTTATTATGACGAAACTGTTCCAAAGTGCGCAAAGAAAAATAAAGAAAAAAATATTAAGAAACAAACAACAATAAAAAAGCAAAAAATTCGTTCATAAACAACAGTAGAAGGAAAAAGGAAACTAACAGCATGTACACAACTTGCACAGGGGCGCACCCACAAACGGCCTAAATCCAAGTTTGGGTTTGCAACCGATAAAACCGAACAAATTCAATTCAGTTTTCTAATGATAAGACGAGGTTAGAAATTGATTTACATACATAGGCGAAGTGCGTTTTCTAAGGCGGGTTGATTTAATGGAATTTGAAGATTCTGATATTAGGATTAAATTATAGATATTATTTAGATCTTTGAAAACCATCTTGATGGGTTCAAAAGCTTGTGATTACGTCCATATTGGCTGTAATTTATGAAAATAGAGTTCCTAGAGGACGGGTTAAAAACATTAATGTTTAACCTACCTAGTAACGCCGGCAAATCAATTGTACCGTTTATTAACTTCACTAAGAAGGAAAATTCAAGCATAAATCTGGGTTCCTCAAATGACGACAAGGGTAGCAAAAGGGATCTATATTAACAAAGAAGCATGCAGATAAGCGCATCTCAACCTAAATTCGTAAGGGCAGAATTGCTTTCGAACCTATATAACGCCTGTAGGAGTGAGAGAGCACAACAAAGGCATATTCAAGTATTGA